CTACTAGCTTTATTTAAACTTAAAACCGTATTATACATACACTATAATAAAATAAATTTACTATATAAAATTGTAGTTTAGTTGTATTCTATTGAAATTTAATTGTAGATCATGTGTCTGTATAATTATATAGGGTGGCAACCGAAGGTTCCAGGAACACTATTAAACTTTTATATGTATATGATAATGAGAATTACATATTAAAACTATATAACCTACACCTAAGACTACATGATTGTCCCGATGTTATGATAGCAATACCATTCCATAGCTTGTGTGTATCAGGAATCTTCTGGTTCACACGCTTGGTGTTCGTTCCGCGGAGTCAGCGGCGTCACTCGTTATATATTTTATCCATACAACAATATCGCCCGGCGATGTTCATTTATTTTATATATGTAGCGCGTACGTAACATATGAGAAATTGATAAGTAAATTTATGATTTTTGCTACTTTATTAGTATTTATAAATCATGAAATCATATGCACCCTACTAGTTTTACTTGAGAACTGAATGGCCGAACGTTTTTTCATACTCTGCATCGCTTTTGTTGCTCGTTGTAGTCTGATAGTCTGCGGTATGCCTTTTTCGTTTTTAAAATATCCTTTTTTTTACAGAATGCCTCTCATTGTGTCCTTTAAAACATCCTTTAACCTTTAATGCGGGGAATTTATATTGTGTATAGCAGGAAAATCACTTGAACTTGGTTATATAATAAAGAGACTAGACTGACTTTTCTTGTACGTACATATATGTTTGTACATAGTACGATAACTATGAAATTGATTAAGATATTTTTCTTATTTTCCTTTGGTCCGTTTCAATCAATATTAGCATTAATAAGAAATCTGTAATATACATTTATATTATAATTAAAAATCTGAATAATTCGTGAATAAATTTTAATGATAAGACGATTAAAATTAAATTAAAATAAAAATTATTTTTATTTTAAATGTAATGAATAAGCAATGTTCCCCTGACACAACTAATTTATGTTATCCTGTTTATATATGTATGTCATGGTACCTGACGATGGCCTATTTTTGTTCAAAATAATCAGATCCATCCAAAAATTCTACATTCTCTAGAAAGAAAATAACCAAAATCTCAAAGACGGTAGACTCTCACTATCAATCGGGAGATCTCCTAATTACTAATATACCTGTCAAATAAAATATTACATATAATAAAAAGTTTAAAATTAACATTTAAATATAACAATTGGTTAAATATTTAATTTGAACCAGTAGCATCAATACACCGCATCGTTTCCATCGGCCCGTCGATGGAGAGTAGTTTTATTTTAAATGTTCCCTGCCCTCGCAGCGAATTTGAACAATTGAAACATTTTTAATATCGCGGTCCGTAATGTTTCCATATTGTCTGCCATGAAAAAGACATAATAACTAAAAAACGCTATCCATATCAGACGTCTGAATGTATTAAGGGCGCCTGCACACCCGGCGGGTGGAGAAACGCTCGCTTGTGAACGCTTAGTAAATAGTAATTAATATAGCAAAGGGGTTTCCTTGTAAAGAAGAAATCAGATTCAATTCATTGTTTTAGTCAAAATTTAATCCTTTTATAGAATAAATATATGTATACATAAAGCTTCATATTTTACACGTAGAATTCTAAAACTTAAAAAATCTGGCTATATAATTATCGAAATTTATATATACCTATATAATAGAAATTGAAAAATTTATAAAGCGGGACAATCGGAAATCGAACTTCCTACATTCGGGATATTAGATTACATTCAATTTAAAAATTAAACTATCGCTCCCTAACTCGATGTATTAAGCCTTCCGCGTGTAAATTAAACGCCCCGCGTGTGAGCAGCCTTATCCCTAACTAGCGGTAGAGTTTTTTAATCTGCAATCCGCCCGAGGGAGGCCATTGTCGGACTCTGGTCTAAACAATGTGTTATGATGACTACAGTCGCGCGGAAAAGACGCTGCGTCTGTATTGTAAACAGAGGTATGTGGTGATAAGTTTAGATTTACAATACATGTGAACGGTATTGGGATTTTGTTATTGTTAAGTTACACTACGAGAGGTTATTACATGGATGGGTTGGCTGTAGTATTTTTTCTTTATTTTAGATGTTTTTTTACATTTTACGTTTATAAGATGTAATATTACTTTTCTTGCTTATGTAAATATTTACATAAAATAATTCATTGTTATACTATTTTCCTTTAATGCCACTTTCACAATATTGAAGGCAATTATTATTATAAATGAAGGTCGAAATATAGTGTACATTAGTTGGAGGTGATTTCGTACGAATCGATGTGTTTTATGAGACGTTTGTAACAAGTTTTAGTGAGAAAACATACATACATACATACGTCTGTTAAGGGTAGGACGACTTCTACACCGGGTGAGAAGAAATCGTTCTACCCTTAAGTTACTTTGAAGGATATATTAAGGAGAAAAAAAACATGTTTTTTACGTATATTTTTTATGAGAAAGTTTAATTTTTATATGTATGTATATATTTTAGCAGTAAATTTGTGTTTTTTGAGTAATATTAACAAGCGACTTCCCCTTACTTCTCTCCATATTAACAATCATTAGTAACACGTGACGTATACCAGCCATCAATCTACTCACTCACACATTATGCGTTAGAAAGGGACGGAGTTTATTTAGTGTTGTCGTTTGAGCTTATTGAATTTGCGAGTATTTGGGTAAATTTAAATTGCTATAAATATTACCGTATTAAATGGGGGTTTAGAAATTTGGGTGAAGGTAATAAATTTATTAATTAATTTATGATGAACGGTAAAGGAAAGTGCATATATATGAATAAATTGATAGTTTTGGACTCGTTTTATTTTACGTATATGTTTATTTTTCATAATTAATTTATTTAAATTTGATTTTAGCCACAAGTATGTATAAAAATAGCTAATTATAAAATTTTCTTCACAATTTCTGAATATAATTATGAATATGAAGTTTAAAACTTGTGTATGAAACTAATGTTTTAGGATTAATTACGCGATTTTTATTACTATCAAAAACTACATACTCCCGACGTTTCGGTTACTTTACAGCAACCGTGATCATTAAGACGAGATGTACCACACAATCGCATAGTAAATCCAAGATATTAGTTTCATTTAAATGAATACTTGTGAAATTCTTAGATCTCATTAAATAAAGCTAGTACTTCAGAATTGGGCTTCCGAAATCTTGTTTTTTAATAGATATGTTAATTGTCAATTGTCAGTTACATGTATAATCTCTTGCCCGTGACTTTTGTTACTATACCAAAATTTTGGGTAAATCACAGCCTATGTCCTTTTCTGATATCTAAGCTACGTTACTTTAAAATTTCATTAAAATCCTTGCATTAATATTTACAGGAAAGAGCGACAAATATGCTTAAAAATTTTAATATTTATAAAATTCACAAATTTCAAATACATATAATATTTATGAAAATTAATATTCAATATCAGTTTCATATTTTACTCGTATAAATATTATAATTCACAGACGATAGTAATATACTGACCACTTACCGGCTGGAGGTAAGCAGGTGACTTAATCAGAAAAGTTGAAATTACATAAATATCCTAGTCTAATAGGAGTTTAAAGATGCGTTCACATTGCATAAGCGACAGCGGTTTATCATTGAGACCGTTGAATAAGAAAATAAAGCTTTGTGCTATAAATTAGTTCTTTGTTATAATTTTTATTAAAAATTATACATTGAAGTGTGAATATATTTATATATGTATATAGGCTAAAAGGCTGGACCCGTATGAATAATTTTTTTTGTATGTAATTGGTGACGCCCCCATTGTTTCAATATACAAATCAGCCCAGCAGATTACGCTGTCGTCAGTTTCTGTGTATTTAAAATACTTAATGTATTATTTAACACATTAAACATTTCTATCTGATCCCAACTCTGATGTTCACGGCCAGAGTCGCGAGCGTATACCAGTGTAACAATAAATCGCTACCGCTCATGTAATGTGTCCCGAGCCGGTCTTAAAGAGCCCCGCATTTTCTATATTAACCCTTCACAATAAATATGTCTGGTGTAATTTAAAAGTTAGCAGGTGTAATTCCGCCGCGGGTGAGTTATATCAGCATTTAAGTGTTTAATAATGAAGTGTTCTTAATATTTGTCGCCCCATTATATTGTTTTTGTGCTAAATATACAGATGCAGCTTTTTTTTATGTTATATTTGGTAAAATACTTAAAATTTACTCAAAATTAAACTGTTACAAAGCTATATCTAATGTTATTATGGAAGTATATTGAAATCATCGCTTCCTACTATTAGACAATTCGCTTCGAAATCGTTTCTATTTCCATCGTGTAAAAATATTATTGTTTTGTTACTAGATGCTAATTATGTTCAAAGTTTGAGTGACGAATTTTTCATGCGTGAAAAAGAAAATTATTTTGTTTTATCCTTTTGGGAAAATAGACTTGTAAGATATTTTTTTCATAGATTTAAAAAATCTCAAATATTTTTAACTAAAACGCTAAATAAAATATATTACAATTGGATAGTGGATTCGTATTTTTTATATATATTCTGTAAGTGTCTCTCTTGAATTTATAATTTTGTTTCTTGTAAATCGTTATAGTAAAGTCAGGACGATAGATTTCATTGCTGAAACATTACATGCTCGTCAATCATTTTATCTACTTATAGGATACTAGCTTTCCGCCCGCAGCTTCGCCCGCGTGGAGTTCGGTTATATCGCGTTTCCAAGAGAACCTTTCAAAAGTCTGGGATAAAAACTATCTTATGTTCTTTCTCAAGGTCAACTCTGTGTCTGTACCAAATTTCATTAAAATCAGTTCAGTGATTTAGGCGTGAAAGCATGACAGACAGACAGACAAAGTTACTTTCGCATTTATAATATTAGTAGGGATGTATTAGTGAATGTGGCTTATTTCTAAGTAATAATTATAGTACCTTTTTATAAGGTGTTATTTAATGTTTGTTTGGTTCAGTATGGTGATATAACCGATGACCTCGCCAGCATCCTGGACACTCAGAAAATGGATTCGCAAACCAGCATGAGGTTACGAGGTATGAAAACACTAATATATACATATATTGCACTAAGAGTAATATACATATATTATATCCCTGCTTCTGTCACTAAATTAATTAATTAATCACTCAGTTTATATGGTTGTTTATTTGTATATATATATCCTTTATTGCACAAAAAAACAAAACAGAAAAAACATAATAGAAAAAAAACATACCATACATTTGTATCAACTTTTGTGAGTTTTATATTAATTACTCCCATTATTTTATGAATAAAAATCTATCTTTTAAAAAATATTTAGTTTGCAAAGTTAACTATTGCTATTTAACTAATAATTTTTGTTATTACATAATTGATTTTAACAGAAATTTATTCACCTATATCTTCGTTATTCGGCTATTTAAATTGATAACACAATCTTAAAATGTTACTAATTAGAAGTTGAACTCTTTTAGAAAGTGTTTGAAAAATAACTGAATTTTAAACTTACACAGACAACCGAAGTTTTAAATTTATTTATTATATTGTTATTCACAATGACATTAAATTTTCAGATTTTTTCCAAAAACTCGTGGAAACAGATGCCCAGATTAAGAAACTCAAACAGGACGTGAACAATTACTACAAGACTGACAATTTGAAGTCCTTCAGTGATAGAATAAAACGATCATTGAAAAATCGTCTTAAATATCGCATCAGAGCTAAGAATAAAAATAACAAGACCATACATAAAAGAAACCTAATGGATGACAAAAACAATGTCCTTAATAATGGGTCAGCTATCACCGGTTTTATAATAGAAGAAGAAAAGGTATTAGTTCAGTACGATCCAGGCAGGAAGAGGAATTTCCCTAAATGCTCCCACTCACACGAATCAAAATCTCATGAGAAAAAATTAAAACATCCATATTATAAGCACAGCCAACGCGTTGACGAAATGCTGAACTACGCTGCACCTACAATAACTAGTACCTTGTTTAAAGACAGCGCAGAAACAGTATCAACTGACTCCTATAATATATTTGATGATAAAATATCTGATGTAAAACTTGGAGCTTTGGAAACTAAAGCAAACAAGAACTCAGCCAAAGATAAAGAATTTGATGTGATTATTTTGACTACATCACCTCTTGTGGAAGAAGTGAATGCAGCTAATATTATGTAAGTAACGTTTGTATTAATGTCATTTATAATAAACCGTTTATCAGATTCATCTTCAAGGCCCCTTCTCACATGGAGAAGATTTGAGCATTAATCACCACGCTTGCTCAAGACGGGTTGGCGATTTCAAACTTATAATTTGATATTATAAATCTGTTTCCTCGCAATAATTTCCTACACCATGTGTCTGTGGTGTCTTAATACTCTTAGAAAGTACATATGACTCTAAAAAATCACATTGGTACTTGCCAGGTTCCGAGCTCGCGCCCTCATGCATGAGAGGCGGGCCTTTAATCTGTAGGCCACAAAGACTTCCTCTATCATTCTATTCTATCAGATTTCATATAGAAATGTTTTTAAATAATTTCAGGAGTACTTCCTACACATCATCCGAAACTGAAGTAAATGATCCTGTTAAAGATCGCATTGGATACCGTAAGTTGATGCAAGTCGGTGAAGAAGATGATGAAGAATTTAATTACGAAGATGTCAAGGAAGTATTGACAGACAATAACCAAGAGGATGACGATTTTGATAGACAGACTGGAAAGAGAAAAAGAGAGAGTGTAATATATGTTTCCATAGTTACATGTGTATGGGGCTGTAGTTTAAATAAATCCATTCAAAAAAATCTATCTATTTACCAATACAAATGCTGTATATATACGGTAGTCACCTATGTTTTCACCAAACTTTATCCATCAGAACATTCTCATAAACAGCCCCAAAAACACGAGTCTCTTATATATTATATTTATAAAAAACCTTACTGATCACTACAAAAAGGATTAACAATAATACTTATTTACAGGGCCAACGATACAAACTGTTCCCGTCCGAAATCCTAAACCCAAACTGGAAAGGTCCAATGCCTTTTTATCCCGACGAAATAAATACAATGATAAAACATGCAGCCATTCAAAATCTCAATATTCAATCACCAATGAATACAAAGTATCCGAAACCAGAGAGGGAAAAGTTTAAGAAGGATGTCAGCGACACTGAGTACATTGAAGAATACGCGTATGATAAGAATAAAAACATGGCAAATATGGCCCAAGCGTACAGTGACTACGGAGTAGTATATAATAGAAAAGCTGAAGATGTTAAAGACAGAATAAGCAAACCAGAGAACAGGTTTAAACAATCGATGGACAAGAGATTTTTTAAATATAATATATTTGGTAAGCTTTCAATATATGAGATTTTTGTATTAAGATTTTAGTCGGTCTTAATTGGGACAAATAACTTAAGGATCCAGAATCTGACAGTGCTCATGCCATCACTTATGCTACATTCAAATCTAACTTTCATTGCAAAATATCTTTTAAATATCATTAAACACTGAAATAATCAAATTAAATCTAATGCTTTCGAAGATTTTTTGTCATATTACGACGGAAAAACAAGTTTCTTTATAATTAGTTAATTATATTGATAGTATTTTCGTCTGAAGCTATAGTATTAAACTACACGATTTTTGATTTAATTTAGATAAAGAAGGCCTAAAAGTTGAATTTAAACCCGGAACTGCCAAGGTTGAAACCGACAAGCTAGTAACTGATTTGAAAAAACACATCAAATTTGTGAAACAGTCAACAACCAAGGATCACCCGTCGCCACAGCCGGCTTATAACTCTGAATTACAAAACGTACTGAGCCATCAAAATAATTACCCTTTATATAATAAGGATACAATGAAATCTAAGGAATATGAGAGGTCAATAAGGAAAGTTTTTAGAACACTTAAATCTATAAACGATGAAACAAATGTCGATAATGTCGATAATAGTGATGTTCCTGCAAAATTTGGTGAACCAATGGCAAATAATACTGGTGTAATAGATGATGTGTTTGGCTTCTTCGCTTTAATGAGTGACTGGTTCAGAAAACTATCAGTACTATCCGGAGAGGAGCAAGGAGTTCCTGAATTTATAAACGGTTCACTGTAAGTCACTCTACACGTTAAAAAGGGTAACGCTTTATCTGACAATAATCATGAGAATTTTTTTTAGGTTTAACATCACAAATGGAAAGAAAGATAACACAAAACTGAAAAATAACAGCGATATTCTTTATCCAATCTATGACTCTGATATGGTGGATAATATTGGACACAGGTCAAGAGTTCTAATGTCGATCAAGGATAATAACACAGATGATATGCAAGAAGCTAAATATAAAGAAGATATGAAAAGAAATAAGATTAGCGGTACTTTAGTTCATTAAACAAGTATAGTGATATTTCTAATAATTTAATATAACTACAGTTTTATGAATATATTGTTATTTTTGCAGAGTCAGACAACATCGTCCCTATAGCATTAGTTTTAGCAACAAACTTGACAAATACCTCTGAATCAAAAGAAACAAGAGACAGAAAAAACTCAACTTCTATAGTTAAAAGGAGCATAGATGATAGCAAATTAGTTTTTTGGAACGAATTATACGATAACGATGAATATGGAATAAAATCAGATTATTTAGATCACGTTAGAGAGAAGCATCTCGCGAAAAACAAAAATGTGTTCCAAAAAACGAGAGATTGGATAAAACAGAAGTTTAGAAATAAAACTCGTAACGCTAGGGGCAAGACGAACAAGAAAACGAAAACTACTGTTAAAACAAAAACGGCACAAAAGTCTCCGTAAGTAACAGTTTTTTAATTTGTAAGGACCTTTGTTTATTTTATTTTATTGACCAAAACTCAATTCATAATTTCCAGGACTTTAACAAATACACAAGAAATGGACGACAAACCAAAAGCAAGATATATACGAAATACGAATGAGGTTAGTTTTTATTTCAATTTAATAATAAACAATAAGTATTTAGAATAAAAGAAATTTCATACTGACTTTGGATTAAGTAATAAATCTCTCTAAAACCTACTAAAAGATTTGGGCCCGTCCAGAACTCACATCAATCAATTCTTGTAACCTACTTCGAAGGCAGCTCTAGTAGGTTCATTTCGAAGTTGGTTAGGTAGAGAGAGGACCTTGGACGTTGGAGGTGAGCGTTTAACGCGCGTTAGATAGGGGGCCCTTAAACCTACACCTGGGTCGTCAGTCACAGTCACTGTTGAAGCTCCTCTCACTACAACGATGGACCCGACACACGCACTGTGAATACATGGAATGAACAAAAGTGTTGTCTCTTTACTTTCAAGGATTCTGATAATATGAAAAAGGTGTTTGAGAAACTAACGGCGAACATGAAAACGGTATGTCAAGAAGCAGCCAGAGCTATTGAGGACACGAAAAATATCGAAGGTAATTTGATAACAGATCTTCGTTGCTAGCTCCATAAACATAATCACTCAACTGTTTATGGTTTTCAATAATCCGTGATAGATTTAGTGCATCTTCTTTTATATGTGAATTTTCTTTGAAATTATCTCCCAAAAATCTTAATATACAATTGTGTTGAATTTTAGATTTTAATGTTTTTGTTCAAAGCATAGACTTAAATAATTTAAAAAAATACAATGAAATTTTCAAATATTATGTAGAAAAAACTAATGAGGTCTCTTGTAATATTTTCCAATGTAATGTTTTTTATATTGTCCCATAAATCCTTCCCAGAAAACTTATAATTATGACAATAATTGTCATATAGTTATTGACATTTAATTCTCTCGACTTCAGTTCGCGATGACAGCAAAGAAGGCGCGGCTGCAACATCAATGATGCAACAGCTTGTACGACTGATGACGGACTTGGTGGATATACAGGTTCAGCAGAAAACATGTGCCAGTAAGAATTATCCTGTACAATATATTATGAAAATAGTCGTAGGCTTTAAAACACAGATCACATTAAAGTAGAATATGACGAAAAACCCAAGCAGTTACTAGATTTATAATTGTTTATTTAAAAGGACAATTTTTTATTTGTCCTTGAAATGAAATTAATTAAATTGATATAAATATGTAATAAATTCATTCTTTTTATAAGTTAAAGCAAAGACCTAAGTTAAAAGAGTGATATATTAACAACAATATCTCACAATTAACAAATTTTAAAAAGTATTAATCACATGAGAATTCATGTGTATATATATGAAGGCTTCCACTTTTAGAGCTACCATCAGATCTCCAGAATTTTCTGGAATGGTTGACAGCCCCCAGCGAGACCAACACGAGAGACGAATCATCGAACAGCCTGAATGACTTAAATAATGATGACAACGGACTGCCTAGATTCGGTAAAAAAATCAGTTGTTTGTTATTAAGATACAATGGACAATTATACATACAAACGGTAACCATAAAAATAGCGAACATGAGGATTACTCTAGCATAACAAAACATAACTTGATTCTTGCTTTTATGTCCCGTAGAACAGCTTTCTTTGCAAATACATATGTATATATATTTTACTAGCTTTCCGCCCGCGGCTTCGCCCGCGTCGAGTTCGGTTATATCTCGTTTCCAAGAAAACTTTTCAAAAGTCTTTGATAAAAACTATCCTATATTCTTTTTCAAGGTCAACTCTATCTCTGTACCAAATTTCATTAAAATCAGTTCAGTGGTTAAGGCGTGAACGCGTAACAGACAGACAGACAGACAGAGTTACTTTCTCATTTATAATATTAGTAAGGATAATCATTTTAGTTTGTTTTACTTTCCAGAGAAATCAACAGAATCGGATATTCTGACTTCAATATCTGAGGATAGTCATCAAGACGACAGAACGGAGTGTCTCGGCACGATACAAGCGGTGCAGGACCTGATAATGCAGTACGAAGGAATGAACGATGAAGACAAGGTAAGAGTTGAAATAAAACAAATAGAACAAGAGCAAAGGAAGGTTGATTCTTGTATATCATGTATTTCTCTTGTAAATCTTCTTCTACCTGACAATTTCCCAGCTTTAGCCATCTGCCTTACATGTTGTGAATAGTTTTGGCTAATTGTTTTTACGACCGGCCTGCCTGATATCAACCCTCTTTGGAAATAATTCTTGGGAGTATTTCTCTTGTGAATATATAAATAAATATTTCAGAGTAAAATGAGCGGCGTCAAAGAGTATCTGCAACATCAACTGATTTTCCTAAACAGAAAGTTGGGAAGCTTAGATGAGAATAATGTGAGTATTGTGAAAATTTCTAGACACTTCCTATGTTTTTATATCATCCTAATTTTCAACAACGCTTCACTATGAAAATACCTACTAATATTATAAATGCGAAAATAACTGTCTGTCTGTCTGTTACGCTTTCACGCCTAAACCACTGAACTGATTTTAATGAAATTTGGTACAGAGATAGGGTTGACCTTGAGAAAGAACATAAGATAGTTTTTATCCCAGATTTTTGAAAAGTTCACTTGGAAACGCGATATAACCGAACTCCACGCGGGCGAAGCTGCGGGTGGAAAGCTAGTATTCAATAAATAAGCCCTTAATTTTATAACAAAATTACACTATTTGGGTTGACTCTCTAGGAAGTCGCGGGTTCGAATTGTTTGTTAGTTTTTTCCTTATTATTTCTTATATAATACTTCTAATAACATCAAACATTGCTTAATGCTACATCTATTTCATTAAAAACCCTTCTTTACCTTAGTTTTACAAACTGCACAAAAAGCGTGATGTCCCTGGAATAAAAAGAGGCCACAATAACAAAAAGAGGAGGCAAGTCTTCAAATTCATTAAGAATTTCGGCAAGAAACACACCAAGACAACTCCTGACAATATCACAGAAAGCAACAAGGAAAAGATGGATACAACAAAAGGAAAAAATATTTAGTATAGCCAAGAAATAATGAAGACATCAAAGACGAGACTAGGAGATGTAATTTAATATAATAAATGTAGTTAATTTGGATGTAATATTGAATATAATTATATATGATTTTTATAAAAATGTTTTAATTTATATTTAATGTATTAACATACGAAAAATAACATTACTAACGACCAGTGTTAAATACAAACAATTTTTTTTGCTCCTCCTTATATCGTTTATGAGATCCCATAGTTTTTATAAACTTCTGTAATACCTTAAAAACTACTTGGATATGTAATTATATACCTTCTAAACTTCAAGTTCCTGTACGGAATTCTATGACTAGTCCACTCCTTTTAAACAAGTTTGTGTTCAATTAAGGAAAATTAGTAAAGCTACTTGGAAACAAGGCTTTAGTTTGTAAGCTCATTTAAAAAGCAAATTAATTTAAAGTGATATAAATCAGCAATCATATTTTGCCTAGAATAAATTCATTATTATAGTGTAAGCCGACTTGTATTGCCAACAAACATTTTCACTCATACTCAGATAGTGATTAAAGGACAAGAGTAGTAGCTCATATAAAGATAAATAAAATAAACTAAAATTTTGGCAACAAAAAAGAATGTATAAATTTCTCCACAGATTACTAAATATTATTTTATAATTCGTTACAAAAAAAATATATATTGACAGAATATTCCAAAAAAATAGTTTCAATAAAGGCACATCATAAACTAAAATTTAAACTAATCAAATCCAGTATGAGTTGTAAATTATTTAAGAATTAATATAAAATATATCCCATCGGAAATCTTGTTCCGGCTGCAACTAACTTTACTCGCAATAAAACACACGTCTGCTAAATATAAGTCTGCACTCGTAAAATGTTTCGTCTGAGAATGACTGCTATAGGAAATATTAAGAAGACTGACTAGCCTTCATGAGGCATACATATGAAGGTTTTTGATATTAGATGTTTAAAAACACACACACACACACGTATAATTACTAAAAATTAATGCTCCTATATAATTATTTCATTACAAAACAATTGCTATTTAAAATTAATATAGTACTTACTTTTATATTTTAATATAAAGTTATGATATCAAAAGGAAAAAATCCTAAAGAATAAAATAGACTAATAAAAACCATAACAAGATGTACCTAATATCTTGTAAGATTTGAACGAAAATTATTAACTGTAAACAGAAATGTCCCACCGTAGACAGTTAGCGTGTGTACAAGTCATTAGGATGTAAGATACTAGGAGCACCATCAGTTCGATAACACTAAGGATCATTTATATTTCAGATAAGAATATATATCTTGCAAAATAATAAGTTGAAGCTTTCAAGAAAATCTAATTATGATTTTTCTCATAAAACAAAATTTAAACTAAATGAATCATATTAAACAATTTGTTATTTATAGTAAATATAATATTTTATTTAATATACACAAAGTATCGTCACCCTACAGACTCGCCATCAAATTTTTATAGACCCTCAACTGAATTCAATTTACAGTTTATATTTGAGGGACCCCAACCAAGTCTTGTACGTACCAATAACATTAGTTCACTATTTATTTGATCTTTAACCTAAACTGACCTTTGATGTCGAGTGGAAGCGAATTTAAATGCGTGCAAGGCTACTAATATCTCCATATTAACAATTATATGACAACTTGCTTCAGAAATTTAAATATATTTGTATGTATGTCTCAATGTCGTATGAACATAAAATGTACTGAATCGATTTGGCTGTAACTTTGTGATTGTGTAACTATAATGCTGGAGAAATGCATGAGTATAAGAAATCATGTGTTTTACGATCCTTATTTTAATGACGACTCAAATGGTTGTGAATTTCATCAAACTATGCCTCCTGCAAAATAGAGATAGCCGTTGTAGTTTATAAGTTTTTAGTGCTACATTCACTGCTTATAGTAAAATTAAAAATTATATAAAATTTTAATAACCTATTTACTGTAGTTAAACGATTATATCATGTCAGGAAATAAATCGAATTATCATACCTCAAATATGCCTTAGATCATCAAAAAATATACTTTTATTTTTCCGGATTAACCAATCATAGAAAGGAAGTTGGTTTTCAAAGAAAAAACCTCATCGAAATTTTTCGATCCGTTTCAGAGCTACGATACCAATGACACGTACAAACACACACATCCACGTAAAAATAATATAACCTCTCTTTGAATCGATGGTTAAAAACATTTTCTACTCACGATTTGAATGAAGCCAGTATTTATTATACTTTGACTACTATATAAACAAAATATAAGTAATAATATAACATTTTACATATAATATATAATGTATGAAGAATAAATGTAAGCCAAGCTGTAGCTGTATCGGGTATATATGCTTATAATTCAGAAGCTTAACGCTAACATAAATACAAACACACTTTAAGTATTTTTGAGGGAAACGTCAAATTTAAATATACATTCTGTACGTGCTCACTCATTACACTATACAGGGTGTTCTGTTACAAATATAATATTTTCAAAGAAAAATATAATCATTTATATACCTGTATATATATGATTTTGTATCTTTACTGTAGTTTTTAAATATTTTATGGTTATATTTAAGTAGTAATAAATTTGAGTATAGTTGTTTCGTGATCCCCCTGTATATTGAACACGATATTGAAAGCAACTGTGAGGTAAGTGCTGTATTTTGTACAAAATTATTGCATTGCTTCGATCTAGGGACGGGGATAATATCGATTGAAATTATACAAAAATAAATATAACCTACTTATTACGTGCACTCAGTTTTGATAGTAAAATAAATATTAATTTTATCTTTGTTAGCTATTAATACATATATTGAAATTTATTATATTCAAAAATAAAGAATATTAATTAAAATATAATCTTTGCTTTTACAGAAAATAGTACTTCAATAATTTTTATATAAATAATATTAGAAAAAAGTGAATATTAATTTTATCTATAATGATCAGTCCCATCACTACCATAGCCTCAGGTAAGTGCAGTCTCGATATAATAACATGTATAACACACGACACTAATTATCGTGGTATCGATAATGTGTACATCACTACGTCTGAACTGAGCTTCTGTTATTGATTTCACCGGCTTTACTACATTTTAATATTAAATGAATGAAACATTGCTGTTTAATATATATGAACTAAAATATATTATATAGTACATGTCATCGTTTATATGCGTCTTTTGAATGAAAACTTTTTGTTTGAAAGATATGAAAGATATGTATAAAAATATTGGCTTTAATGTAGTAATATTTTGTGCTTTAATTTTTTTTATTTCTTATTATTATTTTTATTCCAATTGTAAAACAATACCTCTTAAAATTGATGGAATTTATGAAATTTTCTAAATTCTACTCATTCATTACAAATTAAAATTATATTGACCCTTACGAGAAAATTTAATCGCGTAATAAGAAAATCATCATTACTAAATGCTGGTACTCTCACAATACTTGACTGGTATTGAACAAACTTAGCTTACAATTACAGTAACCGCAAAGAAAACCTTTCGACTGATAGAAACCGCATTAAAATCGGTGTATACGTTTAAGAGATACGATGTGACAGACACACAGATATCCAAAACAAACATACAATACTAACATCTAAGATTTTCACAAGTTTCATTTAAATAAATATAAAAAGCCTTTATTTCCGTCGGGCATAAAACAAATGTTTTTTTAAACAAATAAATTATAATAATTAAAATTAACAATACTATAATTCATTTAATTATGGATAAAAAAGTATAAAACAATAAATAAATTTATGAAGTATAATAAAAAAAATTGCATATTTTAGACAAAAACTTTCAGCATTTAGAACAATTACAAACTTTCTATCTGATTACAGAACAAAAATATTATTACAACAAATGTATTCCTTATATTTAATTAATTTTATTATTTTTCTCCCCAGTTGCTTAAACATCCGCACAATACGAACAGAAGTTAAAACATAAAACTGAATAGAATTATGTAAATTTATATTAAAAGAAACGTGTGGCTCGCAGTTGAATCGTAAAAAAATATACGACTGTAACTTGGACTAAGTTCATTTGTAGGATTAGACTTGTATTGGAGAGATTATTGTTGTTTAAAATTTTTACTTATATTCTTACTAGCTTTCCGCCCGCAGCTTCGCCCGCGTGGAGTTCGGTTATATCGCGTTTCCAAGAGAACCTTTCAAAAGACTTGGATAAAAACTATCCTATATTCTTCCTGAAGGCCAACTCTATGTCTGTACCAAATTCCATTAAAATCAGTTCAGTAGTTTAGGCGTGAAAGCGTAACAGACAGACAGACAGAGTTACTTTCTCATTTACAATATTAGTAGGGATAATCAAATAACTTTTATGTTTATCTATATTTTATAATTTTTTTTTTTGTAAACTGTAGTAAATTTTGTAAGCATTCTAGCTTAAAAAGTTTAAGTATTATACTTAATTTAATATATTTTGTTTTTATAATGGCTTAAGTTCGCAAATCTATATTATAATGAAAATAATTAGAAATAGTTTACAAGTATATCATATACATATATAAATGGAACTTAGGTATGAAAATATACAATTAAATATATAGTTACATATATATGACATTAAAAGAAATCCGACGGTTATATGAAATACTGTGGACTAATGAGATTGAAGACTATCATATATGTATAATATAATAAATAATGTTATATTAGGAAATTAAGAAATATTTGTAATAACAAGACTGATAAACACTTAAATATCGTATTAATAATCACGGTTGCAAAGTAACCGAAACGTCGGGAGTATGTAGTTATGAAATAATAAAAAACGTATAATAATACAAAAATTCTAGCTTCAATTATATGAAAACTTGTCAAAGTCTTAGGTTTTAGTGTAGAATAATGTTTTAGTAACAATTAAGAATTATTTTTGACAAATAATATTGTACATACGTGGAGTATTGCACAATGTCCAATAGGGTATAGTAAAGGTTGGTCCCCAAGGTCAGACCCATTACAGCCGAGTTTACTACTGCGGCCGATCTGGTGAATTATTAAGATCTGCCCCTGACTTTTATTGCCTGGTCGATACAATACTGGACTCTGAACCCGCTCCCCGAGAAAAATGTACCCGAAAATATACAAAGAATCAAGAAATGCAACTTATATCACTAATATTATAAATACTTTTAAAATAACATTATTATTATGTTAGTTTAGGGATAGTTTTTTTTTCTTCTTCTACCTGGCAATAGCCCAGCTTTAGACAGGGTCTGCCTTACAATTTCTTAATAGTTTTGGCTAATTGTTTTTACGACCGGCCGCCCGCCTGACATAAACCCTCTTCGGGAATGCATTAATCACCACGCTTGCTCAAGACGGGTTGGTGATTTCAAACTTATAATTGTGTATAAGTCCAGGTTTCCTTACGATGTTTTCCTTCACCGTCTGACAGTGGTATCTAAATACTCTTAGAAAGTACATATGACTCGAAAAAATCACATTGATACTTGCCAGGATCGAACCAGCGCCTTCATGCATGAGAGGCGGACCTTTAACCACTAGGCTACCACTGACTTTAATTTTTTTTATATGTATTTTAATACTATTTTTGTTATTTTTGATTGTTCGAACTAAATGTATCGTGACTTTATTTGTAACATGAATTGTAGTAGTCTTTAACAAATGGTTAATATTTTTAGAGCTATATTAAGTTTTATATAAATGATTTCTAGCTTTTATTTTGACTTACATATGTATATTAATGCGGCTTCATTTGAAGTATGTACATATGAAATTTAAATTAATATACTGTTTGTGTAATTAAGCGTGTAATTTTCAGGTTCTCGGATTTATCTATAGCAGCTTAAATAAACTTGCTACAGGAGAATTTGATAAAACTGATGGTTGATTGGAAAAATTTTCGACTTTAGCATTTTTTCCTCATTAACAGCGGTCCTTATGGAGAATGTAGCGTTTTAATATCGTTTCTTTTGAAGACGATAGATGAATGGATTATGTTGTTGTCTAAAATCACTACATGATGTACTTTATTTACAATAATGTAGGATATAAATAAAAATGATTCTTTAAAGACAATATGTATAAACTATGTAGTTTTTATTATTTTCAACAGAATATAAAATGAATTATTCTTACTTCCTAAATATATGAAACAATTGTAAAAGAATTTAGAATTGAAGATATAGTGATGTTTAAGATTTGAGTACCATTTAAATGAAACTAATATTTTTCGGATATACAACGTGCATACTCCCGACGTTTCGGCCACTTTTCATCAACCGTGATCACGGACAGACGGGATGTGAGTGTCTGTCAGTTGGTCTTGTTATTTATCATTCATTTCTAACGATTTTTTAATTTTCTCACGTACTCTAGACTCACACAAAATGCGCTAACTATATTTTGATCTCTAGTAGTGTATGGTCACTGACTTATCATTGTATATTCTTGACGAAGAAATCCCAGTTACTAGAAAATGCTAGCCATCGTATCAATTGAAATTTGTGTTTTAAATTTATCAATCTCTTGGATTAATCTTTGTATGTATCAAGGTTCTACGGTTTGTCAAGCCAGAAGAATCATTTTGGATTGTCTTCTATATGTCCAATGTCCATACACTATTATTTCTTGACGTACTCCTTTTTTGACATCTGAGTTATATTCAAAAATCCTTGTATCAATATTCATTTTCGTTTTCTGTTTAACCCATGTATTCTTTTAAGCATCTACAGTACGTATTTCTGACTAGATACTATCTTTTCTTATCTTTTATCTATTAAGATATTCTAATTCTCCTTTCCCAAATTAAAAATATTTATGTATAATGTATGACGAATATTTATCTTTCCAGTTGAATACGATTGAGTATTTGTGAGTTCATAATATATTTAAATATATTATTGTACATATATTTTAAAGAATTGTATAGTATATGTATGTTTTATCTCTATAGCGAATAGAGTGGGAGCTGACGTACACTTTTATGTTCCTTTGTTAACAAACATCAAACGAACAAGTTATGGGAACAAAGGCAAGTTTAACAGACAAATATTATGGACGGTATACATACATACATACATACAGATGGAAACGGAAGTGACACGCCTCTTAGATAAGGCGTGGCTTGCTGTGGGCGTGCCTGGTGGATTCAGGATCGAAGAAAATTGGATGTGGCATGATTAGAAATAGGAAGATATGTAGTAAAATTGTGTTTAAATTACTTGATTTAGTAATAAAAAATCGATATACTATTTTTTCTATTATCTTCTTATAATGACTCGAAATTTATTCTCCATTTTTATCTTAAACGCAAGAATTATTCTTATAGTTAACATCATCATCAGTCTATCAGAGCCCACTGCTGAGCACAGGCCTTTTTCTCACATGGAGAAGGTTTGAGCTGTTGAGCATTAATCACGCTTGCTCAAGACGGGTTGGTGATTTCAAACTTATAATTTGATTATAAGTCCAGGTTTCAACACAATATTTTCCTTCATCTGTCTAAATATTCTTAGAAAGTACATGCATATGAGTCGAAACAATCACATTGGTACTTGCCAGGTTTCAAACCCACACCCTCAAGTACGAGAGGTGGGCCTTTAACCACTAGGACACCACTGACTTATAGTTAACATAACTTGAGTATTTCAAACATATAATTAGTTTTTCTTTATTAAAACTGATTAGTTAGTCTGTCATACTACCAACGATCAAAGAGTATTCACTCTTTACTTGAATCTTCAAATTTTAAACCATATTTTAATACATTTTCTGTACTTTAAATGAGAATAAAACAAAGAAATATAATTATTATAAGTTACTTTTCACTTATTAGGTAATATTTATATTTTCGTAATTAGTAAAGCACCCAAAATGTTAAAATATAAAATTCAATATATGCCTTAAATGTAATTTACTATGTAATATATGTATAATTTAACAGCTGAAATTTAATACTACTATAATTTTTATAGATTACAGAAAAACAATCGTTAATATTGATCATACTATATATGTTATATGTATGCATGTATGTCAGGGAATTTCTTATAAACTATTGTATTGAACAAACTATAAAGAATTACCAATCTTTCACTCCTGTACCATCACGGTTGATGAAAAGTCACCGAAAGATAAGGAGTATGTAGTTTGAAATAATAAAATACGTGTAGAATATCCGAAAAATATTAGTTTCATTTAAATTAATACTCGCGAAAGTTTTATTTCATATATCATTTGATATTTATAAACTATTTAACTCACTGTTTCTTAAGTGTTCATATGTTAAAATTATAATTAAAAACTGAACTTTAATATCTAGAAAATCTATATATACATATAATTATTGACTCTTGATTCTCTCAAAGAGGATTGATGTCAGGCAAGCGGCCGGTCGTAAAAACAATTAGCCAAAACTATTCACAACATGTAAGGCGGACCCTGGCTATAGCTGGGAAATTGCCAGGAAGACGAAGATTAACTGTAAAATTCTTTCATATACCATTTTCTAATCATAAGCCTAGTTAAATATATATGTATATTTAAGTATATACTATATGTTATTTATTTATATAAATTAAGTAAAATTTAAAGGTCATATCCATTAACGCGTAACTCCTGGTGACCAGACAGGCGTGGTTTTGGAGCCAATTGGGTGGAAAGCTGGTAAATCGATACTAGTGCAGGATTTATGAATACTGCATGTTGCAGATGTTATATGAATTTAAACTTCTTCAATATATTGACACTTTTAATATAATATTATACTTTGTTCTTATTATGCTACTAGCTTTTACGCTTAACTGAGTCCGCTATCTTTGTTGTCTCTTCAAAGATAATATTCTTGTAAGTGGTATCTATTTTAGAGATAAATGTCATTAAAATTATTTAGTTCAGCTGTACATATTACTATTATACAGATATTCTCAGCATTTATATGTGTAAAAGGATTTAAAGGGAAAGAATTTGTTTTTTGTATCCCTATAACTTGGAATCTGGGTAAGGCACTCGATATATTTTCTAGAACTACTATAGTATAACTTAATTTATATGTTTTTTAATATAATTATTAGTTATAATTGGAACACTTAGTGTATATTTATTTAAATACGAGTGTTGAAAGTTAAACGAAATATTAGTTTAAAAACCATAATGGCAGTAATAACAGAATTTGATTAAGCCGGAAAAGGCTCTAAATTAAAGGTAGATTAAGAATAGGTCAATAGTAAACTAAGTTACTATTAAGTATAATAAAAAATATGGAAATATTTCAAATACTATAATTTAAATGATAATTTTTCAGTTACTATATAGACCAGTGCCGATAGCTTTTAAAACATAATTAAATTATAGTAGAATGAAACTCATTAGAAAAGAAGGGGAATATTATAAAAATTAAAGAAAAAATAATTTACGGGCGAACTGAGGTCGGGAAGGGTATAGGGGTGGGCATTTAAGGGTAAAAAATAGGTTTTCTCGATTTCCGACAAAAAGTAAAAAAAAGTCTAGATGAAAAATATTTTATGGCAAAGTGTTTTACACTTAAGAACAAAGTAATATGTTGTATAGTAATAAATAAACCATTGCTACCATTGTGTTACATGACCCTACATATTAAATGAAGTGAACATTTTGTATCAATAGATCGCATCAGTTATATAATTTTATTATATATTGTTACTATAATATTTAGATTGAAACTATTATGTATAGTTGGGAACTATTACTTATCATCTTTAATAAATTTTCCACCATCCTTCCCATTTTTCTTATTATTCAGTTTGCTTCAAATCTCGTTTTTATTAAACATAATTATTTTCATTTAAATGTCTGCATACTGCAAAAAGTTCTGCTCAGTGGTACACTACAACACAGTATATACATATTTATAATTCCCTGCTTTGACACTTAATTATTCATTAATTACCCAAAACTTAAGTAATTATTTGTTCTTACGAAAAGTCGAAATTCGTTTAAACAAATTAAAACAATTTGATATCAACTTTAGCTAAATTAAAGATACATTTAAAAGAATTACAATAGATATATATCAGCCTCGTGAAAAACTATCACTTAACTAAAGAGACCTTTACAAAAACCAAATATTAATGTTCATAAAAATGTATATATGTTTGTTACTCTTTAACCCAAAATCTACTAAACAGATTATGATGAAACCTCACATTAATGTAGCTAAAATATCAGAATAAGATATAGACTATTATTCAGTAAAGTTACAACAAAATAAACAAATATCAATTATATTGTATATGAAGTCACATTACCAACTTAATTATTTTAATAGAGTTATATATTTCTCTTTAAGTCTCATTAAGAACAATATATAGACGGAGTCGCAGGAAAAAACTAGTATCTCATATAATATGATTCAAAAACAACGATAAATTTAATTGTTATGTACGCAGGATTTTGGAAATTGTCCTGACACCATGATGCTACAGTAAAAAACCTAATGTTTTCTTGTCTGTACATATTTAAAAAATATACATATGTAACTCATTTTATTTGCTGTTCATGTTTATTGGCTTTGATATTTATATTGTTCTGACATTCTCCAAGTAGCTATTAAAAGACCAGCATTACTTAAAAAAATTGAAGGAAGATCTATTAACTTTTAAGGTATTGTTATTCATCAAAAGAATAAAGTCAAATACTAGGCTTACTTATCTTAATTGAGAGTTTTTTACATTATTTTGCAATAAAAATTTCCCTTTTCCCTATTATAGAATAATTAACCCAATAGAAATTATATGTATTATGAAGACAAAAATGACTTAATAATTCTTATATTATTTCATTTATAAATACTCAGCTTTCTTTACTTTATCTTTTTGTTATTGAAAGACATTTTATTTTCTTGTACTAAGTATGTAGATTAGAAAAACAGTAAAAAAGGAATAAAATAATGCGTATCGTTGAAAAACAATACTGAGTGACAACATTGGGTAAAATAAAATATATAAAATATAGTACGTTCATAACTAAATGTTAATAAGAATTGAGATGTACAAAATTTCTCTTTCAATCACATTAGAAGATATTAACGTGGACTTATCAGTGATTAAAAAAATATAAAGTGGTTTTAGGAAAAATTATTCTTTACTTAGCTCAAGCATCAATACTTGCTTCCTTAATTTTGTATGTTTCAGAGACTATAAAAATGCTCTATGCCACTTATTGCTAAAAGTGAAGGTATCACCTCCAATCACATAGACTATTTTTTATCCACGACTTTGCCTGTGTGAACTTCGTAAATAGGCTCAAAGAGACTCGCTTTTCAAACATTTGCATTATCTTTTATGTTTTACATCGCATATTTTGAACTTGGTGAGAATATCCTATGGCCGTCTCCTAGTTCAAATTAACAATCCAACTTACTTTAAGCCAAATCAGTACAGCTGTTCTTGAGTTATAAATAATATAACTAACACGACTTCCAGTCATATATACATAGATATAAAATCATAAATACTTCACTACGTCTAATTGAGGCAATAAATGTATAGCAAGTAATTAAAAACATCTACATATATATAATTCTCACATATAATTTCATTTTTATTCTACCTTTTCCTTTCTTATTATTAATAAAACATTCTGAAATGAGTTCAATTTTATATTTTCTCCAAGAAAATGAGCATTACGACCTAATGCAATACTTTTTTTTTCCAGCCCACAGGGTAAAAATGACTTACGCATCCCCTTTCCGTCGAGGGGCGGAGAGGGGTATGTGGGACTCCCCGGGAAAAAGGATTCCCGGTATACCCACTAAAAAAACCTGACTGACCGGGAGCTGGGAATCTGGTTTACATCCAAGCCCAATACAATACTACCCTCATTCTAAACTAACATAAGCCAAACTAAATATTTCATTAACTAAAAATGTTAGTTTTTAATATTAACTAAAACTAAAATATGTTAATGGAGGTATAATGAAATTAATTAGTTCACTTGTAAATATAGTTTTTGAATTCATCTTACGTTTTCAATGTTTATGATTCCTTAGCGTTTTGTTACTTACGTGATTAAATTGAATGTATATTTTGGGGATCGCTGTTGTATTCTTTATTTTATTTATACGCAATTTATTTAATATTAGTTATTTAGTTTTTTCCTATTTTGTTATTTAAATATGACTATTGGTTTCAGAATTAATGATACAC